ATAATATCAAAAATTTCTCAATTTAGCTCTAAAAAATATACGTGTTATTTTATGCAAAGTGTATCTTATGATAATTGGTAATTTTTTACTAGTTACTCCTTTTATATCACAAATCATAGATTAACATACTTGTGAAAAAAGATAAAATGATTTCTGTCACTAAATTTTTATGTCCTTTGTCATATTAAAATAATACAATAGATGTCTGATATTTAAGTTTTAAAATATTTTTAATCATAAAACTTGACTGAATTTAACATAAATATTGTTAAAAAAGTCAATATTTAATAATATAATATATAACTTAACTTCAGTTATATAATTGAATAATATATTCATTTAATAGAATGCATTTTTTATTATATATATATATATATATATATATATATATATATGAGCTTTTATATTTATCCAATTATTTAACCTATTACTGAATAATAAAAGGGGTTATTAAACATTTTAATACAAAAAATGCATACTAAATCATTAGTTGTATTTTTTCTTATTTTAAACATAAATTATTCTTTTGAAACTTAAAAACTTAAATGCACAATCCTATATCACGTACAAATTGACAAATGTAACGTTAAGAATAATTTTTTATGAGCTTTTACAAATTCAAATATATATAAAAAATAAAATTTTATTTATAAGTGTTTTGAAATAACAAAATTAAACACATACAACAAGTATAAATATTATTTATAAGCTAATGATTTAATATTGTCATCTTTTATTTAACCTTCTTTTATTTTATACATTTTAATATAATACGTTTATTTTTATTTACTATGAATAGTTAAGGAAAAATACACATAATGTATATCATATATCTTGTAGGACCTTAATATGTTAAATAAATTAAATGCCATTGTTTTGTACATTGTAGATAAAATTTCAGATTAAAGATTTAAAAGTACATTTTTAAATGTTAGTGTGTTATGAATTTAAAAATATTAAACGTCATATATGAAATCAAATACATTGAAATATAAAAAAAAAGACCGAAAAACATATTTTTTGATACAATATATATTTTAATAACAGTTTTACCCTGTTAACTCGTGATTATATGTATGTAATATAAAACCAAACAATTTAAAATAATTTTTCTGATACATGTTCATTGACATACAATAAGAAAGTAAAAAGAACATATGTTTAAATGGAAAATAAATAAATAACATCTATTTAAGGAAACAATATTTCTCAAAGCACAGCTAAGCACCAAACATAAACATGAAAATTCAAATTATAATTTTTCATTTCATGAGAACTAACTTTTTTTTTCTATAAACTTATTATTTATTTATTGGAATAATAACAAATAAATAAATACTTATTATATTAAAAAATAAAAAAAGAGATTTACTTGTTGATTTTAAGTACATTAAAGCACTTAAAAATGTTTATGTATTTTTGTATTATATGTACATATATATTAAAACTTCAAGATAAAAAATTAACCATTATATTTATATCAAAAGTAATTATTGAAAAATTAGAGACAGAAAATTTTAAAAATTGTAAAAATTATAGGTTTTAACAGGACTTTTTGATTTGTAATTATTAAGTGTATAAGAATAATTAATAAAATTGTTAAAAGTGTAACTTATTGAGAAAATGAGTGGAATGAGAACTTATCCGCAACGTTGCTTTGTGGGTGTCATAGTGCCAAGTCATGAGTATTAATCATCACTGGGCACTTACACTTTAATTTTCATTTATGAGCGCTGCACAGAGCAGAGACCCATTTTACTCCCACATTAGTCAACCGTGGCGGCTCCTTTTAATATCTCTTTTTCTTTGCAGTCAACACTTTGCTTTTCCATAACAACCACCGTTTACCTCCTTCTTTTACTGTTTATTTGCGCGGGAACAAATACCATCAAAATATAAATAATCAATATTTAATTCATTCAAATTAATACGAATTTTATAAACTATCATTTTTATTTATTTTAATAATATTCAAGATATTTTTTGCTATTTTATATATTAGAAAGATAAATATTTTTATTAATATAATAGAATTTAAATATTTTATTACATCAATTTTACACTTAAAAAATATATTTTTAAAAAATTGATGGCACTGTTTAATACGATAAAAACATTTTCCTTTATCGTTTTTGTTAAAAATAAATTGCATTAAAAACAATAGCATGCCCACTGTGACCCTCTGTCTTATCGCAAAAAGGTTAAGTGGTATATTTGTGATTTTATAATGATAATTAAAAAAGAGAAAATAATTATACACATCTCTCTCTTTTTTTTTAATTATTGTTAATATTTAAAATACATTAAAAATAATGTTAGATGTGTTCATTAAAAATTATATTTTTTACAATATTTTTTTAGCTTTTTAATCAATATCTTTATTAGTTTACATTTACCAAAAATTAACTGTCACAAGCCTTTGTTATAAATCAATATTATTCATTATCTGAGCTGGATAGGTTACGTTCTATAAATTTTAGTTTGACTTGTTTTTTTACAATTGGTGTTTTGTTTTTGGTCCATCCAATTAATGCTTGAATTTGCTTATTTAAGATATGTAAATTTTGTAAGTCAGAATCCAACATTTTATGAGGCTTTTATTTTAAATTTGGAATATTTTGTAGTAAAATATTATAAACATGTCTACCATTTTTATTTTTTTTTTTAAGTTTAAGTGAGTTAATAAACTTATGCTCACATATAAGTAAACAAAAAATAACTTGTTTAAATAAATAGTTAAATATATATGTTATTATAATAAAAAATAGTATATTAATTAAAATATATTAATGTTTTGGGTAAAAATGTGAGTACTTATATTACTCAATAAATTTTATTAAATACACAATTTACTAATTACGTGTTTTTTTAAGTTCTTATTAATTTTATATAATTATATTTTAAAATAAAATTAATAAATAATTTGTCAATTTATTTCACTTTAAAGTATATAATACATTATTAAAATATAATTAAATATTTGAGAATGTGTTCATAAACATTTAAATTATATAAAATTTAACTTACATAATTATAAAAATAATAATATATATTTAAATGATTAAATTAATGAATATTATATTTTATAAAAATATTAAATTATGTAAATATTTAAATTTAATATTCGTGTTAACCGATTATGTTTTGATTAATAATTTATGTTATAATTTAATAATAATATTTTTAAAAATGAGTTAAAAATAAAATATTTTTATAAAATAGGTTAAATACGAACTATTAAAAATATCATAAAATTTTGTCAATCATACTTTAAAACTATTATAAGTTTTGTTTAGTAAGTTCTTAATATAATAGAGCTTATTTTTTAAAAAATTATAGAATAAAACCATATAAAAATAACATGTCATGCTTAATTAATTAGTTTTTTCAATATACCTTTATTTAGAGATTTTTCTTTCATGTTCGGTATTAAAATTATGTTGACATTTTTTCTTAATTTATATCTATAGTAATAAAATGGCATGTGTTTCAGAAAGGGAGAACAAATTTGGACTTGAAAATCATATTCTTTTGAAACAGTGTAGACATAATTTGACTTAAAATTTATTATTAAAATTGAAAGCGAAAAAAAGCTTAAAATTTTAAAATGTAAGATAAATATCTTAATGGGTGAGAATAGATAAAGTGATAAGCGAAAGAGACTTGAACTATTGAATATATAAATAAACATCATTTTGCAAAATGAAATATAAAAAATAATAATTAAAGTCACACGCTTGAAACCAAAACAAAGATTTTTAGTTGAATAAACCTTATATTTAATGTTATCAATATTTATTAAAGTAAAAAAACACAATCAATAAATAAAAAGCATTAAAATTTTAAATTAAATCTAAACAATCAATAATAATAAAGGTTTATTAAAAAAATATTTGTTATGTTTCAATATAATAAATATATTTATTTAAAAAATTATTAATTTAAATTCTTAACGTGAATCCTAAATTAAAATTAGAAAAATAAAAAAAAAAAATTCCAAAATCACTCATAAAACTTCATCACAGTTTCCTTACTCCTAAAATATGTTAAAACTCAAAAGCCTAGTAGTAAAGAAAGTGGGATACTATACTCTGCCTTTTATCTTATCAATTATCATGTATTTTTTTTTTAAATTTATGCATCCAATTTACATTTATAATTTTGATGATGAATATAAATTCCATTTTCGTTGTTATTGAGTGTTGCGTGCAGCATGGCTTTTTTCTCTTATTTCCTTTTTTTTCCTACATGATTTGACTCCCTCCATTAACCAGAATTGACTAGCGTCTCAAATCCGTGTCCGTACACACACACCCGGATTCCAGCAGCTCATTCCAATCCATTTCAATACCGGTTCATCCGGTCACCCAGCTCTGCTCATTCACCTAACCGGTAAAATCACACGCCTTTTCACCTTCCCAACCGGTTAGTGTAAATTTCTATGTCCTTTGCACAAAAGAACAACGCACTCTACACGCGTCCTTCAATGATTGGTTTCGCCGAGGAAAAACTTGAACCGGTAACAGAGAAATTCAAGAGATTTATACAATCTCTAATGATTTCGTGCCACGTGTCTGATCGCCGAGAAATCAGTGGCACTAGATCCTTGCTTTTATCCAAAACCAAATTTGCATGTGAGGTGAATTTGGACTGAATTTCCAGAAAATTTCAGCGAACGAGTGGAAAAGTGTTAAATTATTACAAGGAGCGTTTGTCGTAACTCGTTTCAAGAATAAACCCCCCCGTCCGATGAAAGTATCTTTATGCCCCTAATATTTTCCTAAATGACGATCGTGTCCTGGGCGCTGTGACGAGGCGTGATGTGATTGGCAAATGAAAAAGGCGCTGGGTATTGCAGAAGAATAATCAAACCGTAACTCTCAGTGCGCTTCATCTTTTTCCTTTTTTGTTTTTAATTCCATTTATTATTATTATTATTATTATTATCATCATCATCATTTTGCCCCATTTTTTAAGTCGTTCCATTTTATTGGTCCGGCGAATTTATCAAACTGAAAATAATAATTAAAAAACATTTTTTTATTTTTTTATTAAAACACGAAGTGCTCTTTTGTGTGTTACTCCTATGTTGTTATTTTTTTTATTTTTTATTTTTGGGGGGAGAATGAGAAAAAAGAACGCATAGGAAATGGAGAAAGAAGAAGAAGCTCTCTTGCTGGTTCCTCTTTTCTCTCGATTTTATCTATTTTTCTCGCCAGATTTTCTCGGAATCCAAACGCACTGAGCTTCCTTTGTTCCTTCATTAACCCTCGAGATCTGAAAGCGCGTCACTCGCTATCTAAGTTTTGATGCGTTGTGCTCTCGTTTACTTGCTTTGTCAGTGAATATAGGAGTGGTAAGATTCACTTCGACGTTATACCAGTTCAGATCACTTTCCAAGTTTGGGTTTCGAATCCTTCTTTTCGCTAAGTTAGTGTCTGTGTTTATTTCCGCGTGTTTGTTTCCTTCTTTGCTTGTTGCTGTGTAATGATGTTAAAATGAGTGCTAAAAATATGTTGTTAGCGTGATCCTCGAATGATCTTTGCTTCGTTGAGCACTTGCAAGCGGGAAGGAAATAAATTATTATTATTCCGTTTTTCTTTTGTTTCGGAATGGTGTTCTTTTCGGTTGTTGGCTTACTGTGAATCTAGGTTTTGATTGTCTAATTGTTAGGTTAAGTTCACTTGGTGGATTTTTTGTTTGATTCCGTAAAGTGCTTGTTTTGTTTCTATTTTTTTTAGATATATGTAGGTTTTACTATTTTCTTCAGTGTTTCTGGTTATTGTTTAAAAGTAAGTAATTATGTGCTGCCTGTTTGGTTCTGGATATTTGAAGAAAGATAGATGACGCCGATCTTATTCTATTTGTTTTTTCTCTATTCTTTTTTAAGCAGTGATTTTCCATAGATAAATTGGAGATAAAAGGTAGTTAATTTTCTTTTTAAGCCTTTGGCTTCTCTAGTTACATGTGCAATTTCATACTTAAGTTGCCTTTAGTATCTTGTGTGTTTAAATTCAACAAGTGACTATGGGATGGGGTTTTAATGCATTTGGATGCTTCATTGGTCTGCTTCTTCTTTAGTATAATTTTACTTGTGTGTTCTATTTCGGTGTCTTTGAAGGAAGCTTTAATGGGTTTGTGGTTTTTTCCTCAGCCGAATCCCCTGCAAATGAAAGCATGTGCTGTGAGTTGGGGCGGTTAAAGCCTGCGCCGACTCCACTGCTATTACCGATTTTCGTACGCACATCTGAACCCGGAAGCCACAAGATGAATCACTTTTCTGTTGACACTGAAGATTCTTTTGTGAGCTTGCTTGAGCTTGCCGCCAATAACGATAGTGAAGGTTTCAAACGATTGATTGAGTGTGATCCTTCCTCCATAGATGAGGTTGGGCTGTGGTATGGTCGCCGCAAGGGATCAAAGCAGATGGTCAATGAGCAAAGAACGCCTTTGATGGTTGCTGCTACCTATGGGAGCATTGATATTATGAAACTGATTCTCTCTCTATCCGATGCCGATATCAATAGGCCTTGTGGCCTTGACAAGAGCACTGCCCTTCATTGCGCTGCATCAGGTGGGGCTGAAAATGCTGTTGATGCTGTGAAACTGCTCCTGGAAGCAGGGGCTGATCCTAATTCTGTGGATGCCAATGGGCATCGTCCCATAGATGTTATTGTTTTTCCTCCTAAGCTTGAACATGTCAAAAACAGCCTTGAAGAGCTTCTTCAGACTGATGATTCTATTGCTGGGTGTAATCTTAGGGTGATAACAACCTCATCCAATGCTTATTCTCCACCTTTATCAACTTCACCAGAGAATGAGTCTCCTTCTGCACCAGATTTCCAGTTGAAGTTGAAGTCAAATGATATCCCTGTTTGGTCTGCATCAGAGAAGAAAGAGTATCCTGTTGATCCGTCTCTTCCAGACATCAAAAACAGCATATATTCAACTGATGAATTCCGAATGTATTCTTTCAAGGTTCGACCTTGTTCACGAGCTTATTCACATGATTGGACTGAATGCCCTTTTGTTCATCCAGGGGAGAATGCTCGAAGAAGGGATCCAAGAAAGTACCATTACAGCTGTGTCCCTTGTCCTGATTTTCGGAAGGGTGCCTGCAGGCGAGGAGACATGTGTGAATATGCCCATGGGGTTTTTGAGTGCTGGCTGCATCCTGCACAATATCGTACCAGACTCTGTAAGGATGGGACAAATTGTTCCAGAAGAGTTTGCTTCTTTGCCCACACTGCTGAAGAGCTTCGACCGTTGTATGTTTCAACTGGTTCTGCCGTGCCTTCTCCTCGATCAAGCACATCTTCTGCCATGGATTTTGCTGCAGCCATGAACATGTTGCCTGGCTCTCCTTCTTCAATGTCAGTCATTTCTCCTTCACCATTCACTCCACCCATGTCACCTTCTGCCAATGGCATTTCACACTCTTCTGTTGCTTGGCCCCAGCCAAACATCCCGGCATTGCATCTTCCTGGAAGTAATCTTCAGTCCAGTCGTTTGAGATCTTCACTCAATGCTAGAGATATTCCTGTGGATGATTTTGATTTGTTACAGGATTATGATCAGCAGCAACAGCTGCTTAATGAGTTATCATGCCTCTCTCCACAGCCTATGAATTCTAATACTATCAACCGTTCTGGGCGCATGAAACCCCTAACTCCTTCAAATCTTGACGATCTTTTTTCTGCTGAGAGTTCTTCTCCTCGATATGCTGATCCCACATTGGCTTCAACTGTATTTTCTCCAACTCACAAATCAGCCGTCCTTAATCAGTTCCAGCAGCAGCAAAGCTTGTTGTCACCCGTGAATACAAATTTTTCTTCTAAGAATGTTGAACACTCTTTATTGCAAGCCTCATTTGGGGTCCAGACATCAGGAAGAATGTCTCCACGAAATGTGGAACCTATTTCTCCAATGGGCTCTAGGATTTCTATGCTAGCTCAACGTGAGAAGCAGCAACACTTTCGCAGCCTAAGTTCCCGGGAACTTGGCTCTAATTCTGCTGCTGCTGCTGCAGCTGCAGCTGCAGCTGCAGCCTCCGTTAATTCTTGGTCAAAATGGGGATCACCCAATGGTAAGCTGGATTGGGCAGTTGGTGCTGATGAAGTGGGTAAGCTCCGAAGGTCATCTTCATTTGAGCTTGGGAACAACGGTGAGGAGCCTGATTTATCATGGGTTCAGTCACTGGTTAAGGAATCACCTACTGAAATTAAAGAAAAATTGGCAACTACTGTTTCAAATGTTGCAGCAGCTGGATCCTCCGGTGAGGGATCAAATATGAGCACACAAATGGAGTCTGTTGATCATGCTGTATTGGGAGCATGGCTTGAGCAGATGCAGCTTGATCATCTTGTGGCTCAGCAAAACTGAAATGAGTCTTGCTGACCCTGAGGTAGTTAACAACAGAAAGGTTTTCAGTAAATAATATATGTTCTTTTTGAATTTTGTTGTTGATGGAAGGTTACAGTAACTAAGAAAGGAAGCAGTAAGAAAAAGAATCACTGAGGAAATTTCATTTTCAGGTTTAGTGTTACAAAAGTAACTTAGAAGGGTCAGAAAACCACTGGGTGGCATTCGGATAATTAATGCGAGTGTAGGTTTTTTGGCTGCCTATCTCTTCAAATTTTAGGTTCACATTCCTGTCATTTTTTCCTTCCTTGAGTAGATGTTCTATCACAATGAAGTCCTATTCCTAAGTTTGATCTATCTTTTTTATTTCTTTATATTTTGGGGTAGAAAACGAAATTACAAAAGGGTCATTGGAGTTAATTCCTTCGGTCTCCATTTTGGTCCAATTTTGGGGATGAAAATACAGGATGTTGGATATGATATTTGTCATGTAATTTGGAATCAATAATTGTTGATGCCAGGGAGCGGGTATTAGGAAATATTTGAAGATTGATCCTTTGGGCATGTAACATTCAATTGAAGTTTATTGCTATATTATTTACTAATACCGTTGTTTCTATTCTCAAGCGGATACTACTGTCGTAATATGGGTAGATTTTATTTGCATCGTATAAATAACTGAGCTGTCTGAGCAACAAATCTGGTTTGCTGATCAGGTAATGTTGATTTGCATGATTAAAATGCCATTTATATGAACTTTTTAGTTTTTTTATACAATCTATGAAACACCATATTGCATAATTGATGTCTAGGACCAGTTTTCCCGTCACATTGGCACGTGGAGTTGCGGACTTTGTGCCATTCTCTGCTCAAAGAGCGTTTAGTTATCCAATGAAAACACATTTTTAGTCACGTTATGAATTTATATATTAAATGAAACCCCCTGTGATGGTGGACCGACCATTAGGCGTATGGTAATAATGAATATGGTGTCTTCCGTTGCTGTTCGTTAGGGACTTATTTTTAGGAGTTGGTCAATTGATAAAGGAGTTACTTTTAAGGCATGCCTCATTGTGTTTTAATAAGAATAACTTGTGAGAAAGTTTTTAATTCAGTTTAAGTTGTGGTTTTAGTTCTGAAAATAAATTAGTTCATTTGTTAAAATTTATTTTACCATTTCATTTTGTTTTTAATTGTTATTTTGTATTAACGTCACTTTATGAAATTTGGGATTAATATAGGAATTTTTAGGGTTGAAATGTTTGACTTGTATGATTTCATGGATTAATACAAGGTTTACGTATTTATTTATAGTCAATTTTACCTAGTGAAATAAAATTTTGTTACTTTTTTTTGGCTTTAGAATGTTTTAAAAGTTTTATAAAGATGGATAATTTAGATTATTAAATAAATATTGTAGTATTTTTTTCAATAGATAAAGATCTCATTTTGAAATATATAGAAATATGTATGTATTTACTTTTATCATTTTTTAAAACATTCTCTTGTTCTCTTAATGGCTCTAAATTCGTATTAATTTCCGGTGGGGAGGGGAGGGGGGGTTGATAAAACTAGACTTGAACAAACGTTAAATATGGTTTTTATGTAATTCCAAAGAAGCTAGAAAAGTGATGTATGAAGTTGCAATATGAGAGAAAAAAATGTAAACATAAAATATTTTATGGCATCTCTGTCGTCATTATTCTTTCACTGGCTTCGGTGCTTTTGACAGCTAATGTGTGTCATATATGCTTTTCAAAGTTGGAATTGAGTTGATCCCATAACAAAATCGATATCAATATATCACTAAAGTTAGATAAAATTCCCCCGAATAAAACAAATCACAATGGCATTAATGTTAATAGTTTTACCACTGTATCAGATCACCTCCTAATGGACAATTTTTTTGTATTGATCCCTTGATTTGCTCTCGCCTTTTCTTCCTACTTTTGCTGAAGGAATAACAATGCTTATCCACGCATTCTATAGACATTTATGGTATAACCGACCTTCTCTTTCTAGGAATATTTTTATTCTCCTCAATTCCTCTTCTGATGAATGGCAACGGGTAACTATAACATGGTCACATACAAAAATTCTTTTTGTCGATAGGATTTTACATATGTCATTTTCTGTTTTGCTTTTGCACCTCTCTTTTTCTGGAGCATTATCAAATGTAATTGGCTTTTGCCATTTAGTGCTTTGCCCAAATGGGCAATTGATACACAGTTTCACATAAAATATAACATTCAATATTTTCATGCCTTTAAGAGGAGTGATAAAAATGAAAAAGCAATTATATCCGCCATAGAAATACCCAAACTAAAGTTACATTCATACTTTGACATGAATACTAACTTACCCTTACCATTATAAGTAAGTTACTACTTCATTGTTGATGTGTTCTTTGGTGGGATTAGTTGAACAGTTTTTTTTTTTTAAGGAGTTGATTCTCCAAATGTTGAAGTGCCTCAAACGTGGTGGTAGGGGAAACTGAGAAAAATATATATATTTACATGCATTACAAATTCTAATCTGGTACCTTTGGTTTATTTTTTCTCAAGATGAAAAAGGAAGTGTAATATAAGTTATGATTATTGCCCCAAAACGAAAATTTTTTTGTAGGCTTTTCAAAAATGCAAATATGACAGGATTGTAAGAAAACAAGGATAAATGTGATTATCTAATTATATAACAGTTAGCGCAAATTACTTCTTGAAAACATATACATTATGGGGCCTGATTTGGATTTTGGACCCTAATTTTCTCAAATTTTAAACAATTCATTTACATAACTTGACAACAGTGCTCCAAAATGCAACCTGAAAATTGACCCACAATGAAGTCTTCGAAAAATTCTTTTATTCATTTTGAGAAAAAAATTATTCTTTTTATAAGATTGATTCTCAACATTAAACTTTTTATAGGAGGACTAACATAATCGATAAAATTAACCTAAACTTTAAAGTTATGATCATTTATGGAAAAAGGATGACGAGAAAAGAGTTTCTCTAGATGAAAAGGATATAAATAAAATAAAAAGGAATAAAAATAAAAGAATCTCTCTAAGTAATGAGTCAGATTCACATTATTTCTTGAGTCTCAATAAGATTCAGTTAAGAATACAAATTGTGTTTAAAATAATATATTTAAAAGTATATTTCTTATATTTGTTAATACTCACAAGATTAAAGTGCCCTTGGTAAAATACAGTAATAAGAATCGTATGACAGCTAGAAAGGAGTAAAAGTGGCAAATTAAATAGAGTGGTTGTAAAAGATATAAATAAATGCATAATTTTGGCAAATACCATGTAGGCTGGCTCAAGACAAGGTTATTAAGGCCTATGTCTAGGCCCAATTACATCTATATTGAAAATTAAAATTTTTAATTTTGAAATTTTTGTTTTGGAATTATTTTTTTAAATTGTTGTAAAGATAAAAATCAAAAGATCATTTGAAAATATTAGTTTTTTTCTATAAAAATATTAAAAAAACTTCAACATAATTCTTATCTAAGACACCAAATACCTTGGTCCTATAGTTAGGTTAATTGGGGCCAAGTCCAACAATCATAGTATAATGATAAGTATGTGGAAGAGAATTTAAGGTTTGGGTATGCTACAATATCTCAAATAATTATGGCTACTCTAAAGATTTGCACTACAAGGAGAGGACACAACATTTTAAGTAAATGATAAATAAAATTATACTTTCGGTCTCTTATATTTATTTATAGTTTAATGTATTTATTTTTATTCAATTTGATCTTTTAAGTTATGTTTTATTTATAAATTAGTTTTCTTGTCAACTCGGTTACACCACTTAACGAAAGTAACACTTATTTTTTATGCTACTCAAAACATCATTTTGGTTTAAGCTCCCCTTGCTTTCCTTTTCCTGCCTCCATCTCCATCTCCATGGCAATGGCCACCAACAAATACATACCCTCGATCTCGATCTCCATGGAGAGCGTGGAGGTTGAGACTACGTCAAAGTTGTTGGTTCATTGAGGGTGTCACGCAATAGAGGGTGAGAATGTGATTTATGGCTTGGTGGATTTTTGTCAGTGGTCATGGAGATAAGGGTGGTGTTTGGCCAGCGGGAAATTAGTTTCAGTATTGGTTATGCAAAATTTTAATATTCACCACACTTTTATTACTTTAGCAAATATTGACCAAAAGAAATTTAGTTTGAAAAAGGGTAGAAACTTGGAGTAAATTGAAGAAGCGGATTCAGAAGCCATCATAACTTCTAGTTCTTATTTTCATCTCTCCATCTACTGTATATTTTTGTGTTTATACTTGTACGTTGTCAACAGCAAAAATGAAAAATAGGTGCGCATAGAACACACCTGGTGTTAAAAATTAAGTGTGTTTGAATACAGATTATCGCAGAAACTATAGCTAATAACATTGATCCTTATCCACTTGAACACGGAACCAAACGCACCATAAATAATAGCCAGCCTTAAGAATGATATACTGCTTTACTTGGGACCCTCAGCCCCTCATTAAGATCCCGATTTCAACACAACAGAGACAAAAGGATTCATGTGACGGTGGCCGCAACTGGCAAGGAAATCAAATTGCTTTTGGAGTTTTCCTTTGAGTACAACATAGGCTGCCTTTTAATTTCGAATCACGTTAGTAAGAATTGCAAAAAAAAAAAAAAAAAGGCAAGAATTTTCAAAATTACCACGATTTTGAACGTGGTGAGATAGCAAAAACATGATAGTTCACGAATGGTGTGATGCTAGTTTTGTTCCCGCTTTGCTCCAATAATAACATGTTCTCACTCAGTGACTCACTCTAAATGTCACGCAGCACCTTACCATCATTACCAGTAATCTCCACAAGTGCAATGTCCATCCTCAAATCGGTGGAACCTGTTATTGTCCCTCACAATGATCACCCTTCCAGTGCATTTGCTAATAAACTTGATCGCAGTGTGGCAATCACCACACACACGCAAATTCTTCATTACTCTGATTGGTCTTCCCTGAGGGAAAGTAATGAGGCCAAATGCTATGGCTAACCTTTCACTATGATACCTAATAGTTTGGCTCTTCTCATCCCCATCCACTTCTTTCAACACAAAAGAAGTGTCTGCAACATAACCAGCTTTGGTTATTCCTTCTTCTAACTCCTCTAACTTGTCATAAATTTCCTTGGTTTTGGCATGACACCTATCCCCAGCAGCAAATGTGTGAACTCTATTCCCCTCCTCCACCCAACTCAAACCAGTTTCCTTCTTTATGCCTTGGTCCCTCAGCATCTTCCTCGCTCTAGCCGCTTCCTCCCATCTTCCAGCAGCAGCATAAGCATTAGACAACAAAACATTAAGGCCAGAGCTCACACAACCCATCTCAAAAACTTTATCAGCCACATAGGATGCCAACTCAGTGTTCCCATGTATTCTACACCCTGTCAACAAAGCACCCCAAACAGATTCTGTAGGTTCCATAGGCATCTCTTGTATCACTCGAACCGCATCATCCAATCTCCCAGCACGACCAAGTAAATCCACCATGGTAGCATAATGCTGAGACCCCGGTTCAATCCCATACTTTTTCATCATCTCAAAGTAACCTTGCCCCCTCTCCACCAACCCTGCATGACTACAAGCATAAAGCATACACAAAAAAGTAATAAAATTCGGCTTCACCCCAACACTCCCCATTTCCTCAAACAGCTCAAACACTTTCCCTGTGTGCGCGTGCTGCGCACAGGCGATCAACATTGCATTCCACATGCCAAGGTTCCTCACCTTTATCTCCTCAAAAACCTGGTAACCTCCCTCCACAACCCCACACTTGGAGTACAGCGAGATCAACGAACTAGCAACAAAGCACGACGAATCAAAGCTGGTCTTAAAGCTCAATCCATGCACTTGCTTCCCCAACTCAAACAAAGTAGAAGCACTACAAACCCTCAAAACACTAGACAAGGTAAAATCATTAACACCAACGTTTTCCACCAAAGCACCCTTAAACAAACTCAAAGCCTCCTCATCATACCCCATTTGTGCATACCCATATATCATCCCACTCCAAGACACCACATTTCTCTGAGGCATTTCATCAAACACCTTCCTGGCAAACCCTATTTCAGCACATTTAGCGTACATGTCAACGAGGGAGGAGGCAACGAAAACATCAAAATGGTAGGCGGTCTTGAAAGCAAGGGAATGGAGGGACATGCCGACGTGGAGGGCGGAGAGGGTGGCGCAGGATTTGGTGGCGCTGGGGAAAATGTGGTCGTCGGGGAGAAGGCCATGGCGGAGCATGCGGCGCAGGAAGTGGAGGGCGAGGTGGGGGAGTTGGTTTTGAGCGAAGGAGGAGATGAGGGAGCTCCAAGTAGTGTAAGAGTGGTGTGGGGTTTCATGGAAGAGTTGGTGAGAAGAGTGAGGAAGTTGGGTCTTAGAGTAGAAGTTGATGAGGTAGTGTGAGATCAGAGGAATGGATTGGAACCCTGTTTTGATGATGTGGGCATGGAGTTGGAGGCCTTTGGGAAGGGACCTTGCTTGGGTTTGAGAGAGTAGGAGGTTGCAGAGATGCTGGGGGTAGCTCTGTTGTAGTTGCAGAGGGAGGTCAGGTTCTGGCATTACAGGGAAAGGAGTGCTATACGCTGCCGTTTTGCACGCCACTTCACAAATATTTCTATTGCACTTGAATTCTGTTTAGAGAATAGTAAATGAAAATAACAAAAAAAAAAAAAAAAAAACAGAAGAAAGAAATTTAATAAAGAGAAAAGGAGACAATTTTTATAAGTTAGTTGGTTGACAGTGTAAATGAAAGATGGCATTGATAAGTGGGCTTTTTTATTTAAATATTATAAAATTAAAAATAAATTGTTAATTTATTATTTTTTTAAATTTTTTTTTTCTGGAGTGTCTTAGTCAGACACTAATTTTGTCAAAATATTGATAAAAATATTAAATTTTATTTTTTAAAATATTTTTTTTTACAAAAAACGTGAAATAATTAGATTGTGATATGTGTCAGCATTAGTAAAATTTTATAATATGATTGACAAAATTAAATACTAATTTTGCCATACATAGTGTAAAGCTCTCAGATAGTGATATGTGTCATAATTTGAATAAGTTTTATCATAAAAATTATACAACTTGCAAAAATTTGACATGTGACACAATTTTAGCCTATTACACAAATTTATCTTCATTAATTTTAATAACATAATTAAACTAAATCTAATTTAGATTTAGATACAAATTATTATCACATTTAAAATAAAAATCAAATTAATAACATAATACTAGAAAATAATTTTTATTTACATATAAATTTAAACTACATCTTAATTAAATAAATTTAAATATAATGTTGTGTAATTTTTATGACAAAACTCACTTAAATTATGATAATAAGAGTTTCGCTTTGTGTATGGTAAAATTGACATTTAATTTTACTAATCATATAATGAAACTTTGTTGATATTCACACAAGGTTAGAATCTGCTTATTTCGCATTTTTAATAATAAAATTTATTTTTAAAAAAATAAAAATTTTACATATTCACCAATTATTTTGACAAAATTAGTGCTAATGAACTGATATACATAGATAGAGAAGTAGTTTAGTAAATAATAAATTAAAAATTAGTTTTTAATTTTATAATATTTAAATAAAAAAGCCTATAAGTGATATATAACTTATTTTACATGACAATTATATATATTAAAAAGATTAATTCAAAATAAAAAAATAATTAAACTCTTTTTACTCGTTTCAAGATTTTACATTTAAAAATAAGAAAATGTAAATATAAGCTTCACATAATTAATTTTAATTTGGAGAAAACTCAATTTCTTATGTCAATCTATCCTCCCAATATTTTTCTTTAATAAATTAACAATATAGCACATCTCATTTATTTTTAAACTAATTTGTAGCTAGATATAAATTTAAATATAATTAAATTAAATTAAAATCGAATTGCTTTATGTATGCCTCCGGATACTGGAGTGCGTAGAACAGAGAACAATGGAAGGAGAAGAAAGAGAGTTGCTATGGAAATCAGCACCCCAACCAGAATCCATCGTCTCCGTCACACTCGCACGTGCCATGACTTCTCTTCTCACGACCAGCCCCAAGAAACTCCACGACTCCATTTCTCGCCTATCCTCGCACTCACACCTTTCCAAACCTTCTCTGGACGATTCCCTGTGGTTCCTCCACAGCTTCGTAACCGAAGCTGCAACCAACAACCGTTCCCTCGACCAACTCCTCCTTCCCATCATCCACAACGTATACAACTTCTCCTATTATAATTTCCTCTCAATTTTGTTTTCTGTTCGTAATGTTGTGTTTCCTTCTTCTTTTGATTTCGCAGTCGTTGAAGTCGAAGCACGGTCACCAAGCTATGGTTCTCTTCAACTGGCTCTTTCAGGACCAGCTTCTTTTCCAACCCGTTGCTGAAGCCCTCGCCGGTGTCGTCACTGGAAAGCACGATCGCTACTTGTTGCTTGGTTGGTGTCTCCTTCTTCGGAACCTTGTCGAGTACGAGAGTTCTGCTCATCAATCCATGTTTGCTGGTGAGCTACCGGTTTTCACTCTTGCCGTTGATTTGTTATTCATGGAATGCTTTTTTTTTAGTTCTTATATTAACTCATGTGTTAATGCGCTTCTTCGTTTTGGTAACTTGCGTGTTTGTAGGAATAAGAGAAAGATATGGTGATTTGTTGAAGATACTGTCCACTTGCCTTCACGATTTGGCAGGCATTGTGAGTAAAGAAAGGTATTGTCATTTCTGACGAATCTGTTTTCTCGTTTTCAAGAAATGTCGTTTATTCGCGTCTCTGTAATTTTCTTATTCCTTCAATTGTTTCTATCTTATCACTGGCTCTTCAGCAATTTGCAGGATGGTTTTGAGTTGCCATCTCGCCTTGGAGTGTCTGCCGCTGACTGTTTTTTGTCCCTTTCGGGAGCATTAACAAAGGTGGCTGAGCATCCAAGTAAGAAGTCGAAATTAAATGCTACAGCAAAAGATCAGGAAATTACTTCTGTACAATCTTCTGCTATTGACAAGAAGGTGAAATTGGATTCAAAATCTTTGTTGGTGTCAAAGATTGAAAGGAACTGTACTCTGTGGGATCATTTAGATGACCTTATTTGTTTGGTGCAAAGACTCCTTTCTGTAAGTTATAAACTCTGATTTCTTGTTTGCATCATGTATTTTAGACAATGTGTCATCTATTCATGTTATACAATCATGATATCCAATTAGGAAAATTATATTGAATAGTGAACATTAGTTACTGATGGATTATTTAACTACACATTGTATGAAAAGACTTTTAGAAGGTCAGCTGTGAGAACATTTCCTGTTATCTTTAATTCAGTAACAATGGTTCATGATTATTAGTAAGTCTTGCTATTGCATCCTTGACATTAAATAGATCTGCATGCTTAACAAACGTAATGAAAATAGAAGATATTGAGCTCTTTGTTCCACATTCCTTGTCGGAGGGATGACTAATATAAAACTATCTCTGATTTTGTGATGGGAGATTATCTATTTGTGTTAGAACTATTATCTGTATTGAAATTGAAACTGAATTCTATGAAATGCCAAAGGTGCTGGAAAATACTTAAACTGTTTTTGTCAAAATTAGTAACATGAACATACATATGAAGTACGAATGTTAAAAGCATGGTTCAAGCAATAAATTTTTCTAGTTGCCTTCAGTTGAACTTTGCACTGAACTTATTCACTTGTTTGATATTCAACCCTACATTGTAGTGGAGCAAGAAAAGTCGTTTTTTACATGCCAAAGGCTTGGAGCAAGTTCTTAAATGGCTGGAGGAGACAAAGAATCACTATGGGTCCTTTCAACATGAGGCAGGTTCTGGAATCAATGCATTTTTGTATGGATGCTTGATATTTAATTTGTTCACATTGTAGTCGGCTATGGCTCATAATTTTTCTCTTTGTCTGCAACATTGAAGACAGATTCTAATGCTCGCAAGACTGGGGATTTACTGCTCTCTTCTTGCTGGAAGCATTATAGCATACTTCTACACTTGGAAGATAAGAAGTTTTCTCAGCATTACAAGGAACTGTTGGACCAGTATTTGTCTGGCATTCAGGTTCTATGCAGTAGAAATTAGCTCTTACAATGTCTTGAAATAATTTGAGCTATTGCCTTATATTCCAGGTTATGTTAAATGGCAAGGTTTTGCTGTTTGATGTTTGCCAAGGGAGATAAATTATTCATGACTTGTGTTTATCTTGTCTGCAAAAAATAAAAAAATAAAAAAAAAGAAAAAGAAAAACATGGGCTGACTTCACATCATATTAGATGTTTAGGCTTTAATTTATTTACTACATATGTGAAAGGGAATGTGTCTTTGGATTGTATTCCCTCACAAGCTTCAATGTTTAAATATATTTTTCTTATCACTGAGTATGTCAAGTTGAGGGGTGGTGGACTATTATTCTATTGCAAGTGGTGTGTTAGTTGACCGTTGAAATTAAGACCGCCCTTTGTTTCAGTAATCTTTTCATAGTTTAAGCTTCACTCCTATCCAATTCATTATATTAGGTGTTTTAATTGTATGTTTGTTGTGTTGCACCACCATTTTGGACTTTGAAATTCCCAAATATAAAGTATATTGTTCTTTTGATTTGGTAAATCTACTGATATCTTGGATACATTTGAATATGCGTAACTTGGGCATGAAACATGTTGGGAATTCATAAAACTTCTGTTGACTTGTGTCCTAATTCCCTCCAAGCTATAGTTAATCTCTTCAGATTGTTTACACAATGTAAATCTTATGATCATTTAATATATTTAAAAGCCCGTTTTATATAAGTATTTGCAAGAATCCAGACATTTATGGTCCCCCAAGATCCACTTGGCAGTATATGGTTACTACTATACAGGTCATTATCTATACTTGTGCATTAGGAATGCTTTGAATAATAAAAAACAAAATGATTAATGTATTATGTTGTTTGATGTAATTCTCCTAGAAACGAAAAATGAAAGAAGAGAAAAATCTGGTTAATATTCTATCTTGCTTTCTTGTGGTGAGGTTTTGTTTTGGGTGATGGTGGGGAATTTCAAGTGATCTAGTGGGATTGTGATAAGCACCTTGGGAGAACCATATCACAAAAGTTAGTCATTGTAGTTGGAGAGTCCAAAACCTTATAAACTCCAAAAGAATCCCATACTTCCAATGTGGAACTCAAGTCTCATACCTTGCAATTGGATCCTAACATCTCACCATGCTTTGCAACCCAACACATGCGGTTGACTGCGCATTAGCCCCTTTGACTAGTCTCGGACAAACACTGCAATGCTAACATCACCACCCACACCACTCGTTTGCAACTGGGAGACATGGTGGATGACTTTGATATCAATTGATAAGAACTTTGGGAAAATCACACAACAAAAGCCAATTGTTGTAGTTGGAGAGTTCGAAGCCTTATAAACTGTTCGTGGGCAAGTGTCCTATCAAAATTGTTTTCAATTACTAAGAATTTTTTAATTGTTTGAACTTAAAAGATATGAAATTAAATAAAACAAGAATTCAAATATAAAAGTGATTAAAATAGAATTAAAACTAGTGCAACATTTGACAATGAATTAATCGAGAAGAAGTTAGAGCATATGGTTTCATTTTTACAATTCTTTATGTTCTCTTTTAGATTAATTCTAATTTAAATTTTTTCATGATTCTCAATCACTCATACTAAATCTATTAATATTTAATGGTCATGTAATGTTAACAATTTTTTTTCTAAGCTATTTTCCCAATGGTCGTCTAAGGTTAAAGGAAGAGAAAATATAAAGAATCTATGAGTTGTTAATTTAATAACAATTGAAAAAGAACTAAGTTTAGTCCATCTAATTTTTTGTCTCGTTTTTTCCTATAGATCCATTAACTATATGTATTATAATCGCCTACGATATAATTAATTATAACATGTTTAAGAGTTGTTAATTTCAAATATACAAATATAGCGTAATAAGATAAATACCAATCAAGAATAGAAATATGAAATTACTATTAATTATAAAGATTTCATAAAGTTATACAAAGAATCTATTATAGCCCAAGTTATGGATTTAGCTAAACATAATATAAAAGAAAAAGAAAATAATACTAAACAAATTCATAGAACTTGAAATGTAAATAGAAACTAGAGGGGGTCTTCAATAGAGAAAAGATGAGGAGAACTCTTAATTTGATGCGCTTTCGAAACTCCAATAGTTGTGAGCAATTGACCAATGCCAAGATTGGACATGTGAAGGAGATGTGTAATAGGTGTGAAAGGGATGAGATAGAAACAAGATAAAAATTAGGATGATGAGTCATTGTTCTTGAGGTCTCTTTTAATAAAGTTTGAAAATTCTAAATTTTCTTCATAGTTAGGACTACTTGCAGGTAAGCATGGCCGTTAGGACTACTTGCAGGTAAGCATGGCCGTGCAAGGCCATAAGCACGGCCATGCAGGTGGATCAAAGCATCCCTTGCTAGTTGATAAGGTCTGGGCGTACTGATTGCTGTGAAGTCCTATTTTCACTTCAATTTGGGCTCAACATGCACACAAAATTTAACTATGGCCTTCTTATGTTAAGCTGAATAATTAATATATAAATTAGTGTAAAACTCAGTTAAAATAATAGCCACACATAAATATATAGGTTATAAAATTAAAAGCATACCAAAATACAGACTTTCATAAACTCTATATTTAATGTGAGACTCAAATCCCATACCTTGCAATTGGATTCTAACAAATTATTGGGAGGCTTTGGAGATAATTATTATTTATACCACTGCTCTTGTGCAGTTTTCAGCTGTGTTATTGTAAGCATTTTTGTTAGTGCCTTACATTTCATCCAGCACTTTAAGTAGTGTCTCATGTTATCTCTATAAAATATGCTTACTGATCATCTACAAAATACAGTATTGTTGTTAGGGCCTTACATTTCATGGAGTTGAGAGTTGAAGATGTATGTTGAATAACAAAGTAATATTATGCATTTGACATCTCCATCAAAGAGTTGGTGATGCTACTAGCCAAAGTTACATTTGTTTCATGTGGATTAGAAATAGTCAAATATATCAATAGGCTATAATATTTGATATAAGAGAAATGCTAACAATGCTCATTTTGAGCTTTTTTTTTTAAAATCAAAGCAAATTTTAATAAATAATCAATTTACAAGGTAAGTACTTTGACTTAAATGGACCAATCACATGAAATCTGTTGAAGAGTGTGTTCAAAAGAGTATGTTGCTAGCATTTTTTGTAATTTAATGACATGATAACTCAATTCTTTGTGGCTTCATGCTATTGTGTGTGATGGAATTGTTTAGTTGCTAATATCCATGAAAATTGCAGTATTATATGGACAACCACGGTAGTGGATCTACTGACAGCAATGATGGTGGGTTGGAGACCCGAAAGTTTTTTTTGAATTGTCTATGCCTACTGCTGGGACGTCTAGACAGCAAGAGATTTGAAGGCATGGTGTTGGAATTTGGGATGAATATCTCACGCATTCTAGTACCACAGGTACCTCTACTCAAGGTCTCAAGGAAATATATTGCAGATAAATTTTTAAACAAGACCATTGCACAATCATTTAACCCTGCAAATGAATATGTTTATATTTATTCTCCTTCAAAACCTTGTATGTACTTTCCCATGCATCAGGTTTAACACACAATTTTTATTATTAAAAGCTTAGAATAAGGATATTATTTGTTACTATATTTACTAGTCTGTTTTTGAGTTCTGACCTTGTATGGACATAGTGTTGGCAGTGCCTTGAATGCAGTAGTAATGCCTATTCACATTTGAAAGAATGATCAATGGTGTAATTTTGAGCAGTGTAACTGTCAGTAGACGCTGACATATTGTCAAACATGCACTGTGGAAGCAGAAATGGAGGGTACTACTATTTAATTTAAAAAACTCCAAAACCCCAACTTTCAAAAATTTTACATTTACTTAGCTGATAGAGATCTTTTTGGCATGATGATCCTGCTTTTCAGCTCTTCTAGGTCATGTTAGGTTCCATGAAATGATTTTAAAGAAAATGGGAAAATGAAATGAGTATTATTTTCTGACCCTTTTTGCTAAAATAAACAGGAGTGAATGAGATAGGAAGTGTTGGTGGAGGTGGGTGTTGCAATGGTGATAGCAAATGGTGGAGAATATGGTGGCAATTGTGAGTTGGAGATAGGGATTTTCTCATTTGGAATGGAAGACAAATGGTATAATGGTAAATTGAATTTATCCTTGATGGAATGGAATGGGAATTTCTTTGAATTCCATGATAGCTACCAAGCACTCTTGTTGTTCATTCCCTTTCAGTCTTTGTTATTATTCTTTTCCAACAAACCAAACATAAGATTAAAAGGTGTACTGAATTTATGTTGAATAAAGATATTACATGTTTTGTCAAAGTTTGTTATGGTGTAGTTTGATGTTAAGGAAAAGAAAAGAAAAAATAATTATTTCAATTTCTTATGGTGTGATGCAGTTGTTCCTACTTCCTGGGAGCCTATCTAGGTTCAGCAGGAGTCTGGTTTTCCTTGATGGATGATACAGATATTGCCATTTGTTATTAGTAATTGGGCTTATACTGCATATTGATATAGATCATATCGGTTACTAATCAAACTGTGATTTAGTGATTTGGATATAGATTCTCATATCCGAGAACTTAACCTTTACTTTTCCCGCTTTTGTCTGTAGCTTAATTGCACTGATGAAGATGTGATAGTTGGTGTTGTTTCAATATTCAAGGCTATCATTCTTAAGCCAGATTACTCACAAGAAGATAACAGTAGGCAGGCAAATGTTGTGATACCTTTTTTGCTTCACCTTTTAGATGAGCAGGATGGTACAGCAAGAGCTGTTGTTATGCTGATAGCAGAATACTACTCAATGTAGTCAATCTTGTCTTTATCTTATAATACTAAGTTGGAGCACTTTTTTGAGTCCAAAATCATTCTTGTTAAATTCAGAACTGATGTGTGTGATGATCCACCAGGAGCAAAGATGATAATAGTCTTCTGGAAGTTCTGAAGCGCCTTTCTTCTGGAAACATTTCACAGAGAAGAAATGCTATGGATGTTATATCAGAAGTCTTACATATATCATCGTCACAAATTTTAATGCCTTATTCTGCTTGGTATGATTGGTCATATCGTTTTATCATATTTTTAAGTTGTTTGTATATTTATTTGTTGATGTGTCTCTTTTAGGCAAGATATAGCCAACAAATTGCTAGAGCGGCTTCAAGATGAAGAAAATATGATTCGTGAGCAGGCATCCAAATTACTTCCATTGATAGGTTAGCATTAAAAGTGAAATATAAGGTGTAATTTGTTTTTTAATATATATATATTGTATTGGCTGGAGCTTTAGGGATGATTGTTTCTTGACATAGTGTTGGAACCTCTTTTCCCAAATGATTAAGTGTTTGGTTGTCACCATCATTCTTGTTTTGAAGTTTAATTTAAGGACACGGTAGGGGTGGGCCTGTGTGTTATTCTCACATCAAGTCCAAAAGGGTTTTCATGTCAAGAGGTGTGTTTGAGATGTGATCAAAAGTAATTTTTAAACTTGCACTTGACAGTTTAAGCTTTTAGGTTGGTTGCTTCTTTGCATTTTCCTTTTACTTTTCTCTTCCTTTATTTCCTCTTTCAAATGATTCATTTTTTTGTCATTATTTGTTGTGCTACTTCATTGTGCTGCTATCTTTTACTTGGACTTGCATATATCTATTTAAGCATTAATGTTTTCACATGAATTTGGTACCACACAACAGTGATTCAGTAAATATCTTGTCACAAAAATATTTAGATTAGTACATGTATGTTTGTGCTACATTATCATTGCTGAATTACTTTTGCAGACCCTTCATTGTACTTGCCTGCACTAGTTAGTTTGGTTTGCTCTCCAGATGAGAGCCAATCATATGCTAGTGATGCCATCATTGGGGCCCTCAAATGTCACAACCAGAGAATTGAAATCGTATTCTTGCTTCTTGACTGTCTTAGGTATGTTTTCTTTTCTTTGCTCCTCCTTCTGCTAGGCATTTAAAGTTCAGAGCTGAACTTGTAGAAACATAAAACTGAAAATGTAGGGGTTGTTTGGTTTCAAAAAACATTTTCTATTCTTATTTTTTGTTTTTACTTTTATTGCAAAATTGTCATCTTATTTTCATTCCATTTCCTATTTTCAAAGATTTGTATAGGAAATGGTGAAAATATAAAAACTTGTTTTCATTCTTTCTTATATATATAATTAAAGATAGGAAACAACAAAAAATAAGGTAACAATTTTGTAATTAAAAGTGAAAGCAGAAGATGTTTTCTAAAACCAAGTAGCCCTCTACTGTTTGTAGAGCTGGAGTTCAAAAACTAATTTTTTGATATGTGAGGATGTCATTGGTTGACTCTAAGTTTTATCTCCTTCTCCTTGCAGCGACATCAGTAAAAACCAAGATCTTCCACAACCTATTGGAGATAAAGGTAGTTTTAATTTTTTGCACTTTGAACTAACAACAAAATAGACATATCCCATTAAGTAGAGTCAGCTGCATGGATCAATTTGGCTTGATTTAAAAACAAATTCTAAGAAATATTATTTATTGTGAGATCTTTTTTAATTATTTTCTCCAAAATCTTTGTTGGTCTTCCCCCCCACCTTTCATGGGGCTAAAACCCATGCAATTTATTCTTCTAAATGGTGCCTCTAGTGGTCTTTTGTTTAAACCATTTTAACTAATTTTGCCATTTTCCTTGATAGGTGTTACGCCAGTATCTCCTTGTGTATAATCCATTTGTATTCATGCATCAATCTTACCATTCATTTTTCCATTGCTCCCACTTTCTCTCAACATGGAAATTTGATAGATTGTGCATTTCATTGCTACCCTAGTTCAATTTTCTATATTGACATTTGTATAATGTAGGCATTTATTGACACCTACTATATAAAAGTAGACTAGTTTTATACCTTTCAATAACTTTTCAAAGATGCATTTCTTGTGAAAATCTCCATTAGTTGGATGCTGCTGGCTTGTAGATCATTTTTGTAAAATTGCTTGCCAATTTCAAGTAGGTTTTTATAGCCATAAGTATCTCATAAAGCTAAAGTTCATCAATTTTTTGAATTGAAGAAAGTATCACAGTTTGACGTGAAAATGATTGCTCCCTTTGAAATTGTGCATGATGCACATGATTGCTAGTTGCAATCCAGCAATGATATTTCTGAAAACACATTCTGCATTTTAATTAATAGTGTAAGATTGCCAAATTTTTATTGTTACTAGTTGATCCTAACTGGCATATGTATAAAAATGTACGTGTATGTATCATTTTATTGTGATACTTCATCAAGGAACATCACGTACCAATACTGTCCACTTGAAATAATGATAATTTCTTCATATTCCTTTCCTTGTTTACAACTGTGAATTCAATATTGATAATCTCAGTTATCCACTTACCATTCTTGTTGATTAAAAATATTGCATCCATTGTGTTCTCATTTATTTTATTTGGTGGCAGGGTCAAAATTGGATACTGACCGGGTGTTCAAACTGGTTCCTGAGTGGTCTAAAAATGTAAGATATACTATGTAGTTGTGAATATGGCAGTGGGATTTGGCTTTTCTAAAGTGTGGGATGCACTTCAGAGTTCAAAGAGTAAAGTAAAGAGTTATATAACTATTGATTGGAAAATCGATAGTTGAGATTTTAGCTACTTTATAATTTGTTATACATGTGCATGTGTTTTATCACAATTACAACATTGACTATGGTTATAAGACTGCAGTTTTTTACCCTTTAAAGTGCATGTCTCACTTTAGAGAAGCCAAATCTATGCTTTTTTTCAACATGGGAATCTGATCAAGAAATAGATGACTGATATATCTATTATGGAGAAAAATGAAATGGTTAAGGGAAATTGCAAGTTCTAAAGACTGCGTAGTAGTGATAAATGCTCAGAGATTATTGTAACATTTTAAGACTGTTAATTGCTAAAGAAATAGTGTCATTAGATTCCTTTAATCTTGTATTGAACCAAATAATCCCTAAAGTATGACCTGTTAGGTGTACACCTAAGAACGATTGTGTATCTCAAATCTGCCCCCTTGCATGAAAATTTTTTATGCTCAAAGCATTGTGGACAATGACATAAGACTAGCCCTCCTAACCTAGTTAAAGTTTAATTTGATTATGAAGAGTTGGGGAGGCTATATCCATATTAAGAACCAATTCATCCCAAAGCTTAAGCAGTTGGTTACAGGCCAAAAATGGTTTTTTTTATCTTTTATAAGAGTTGAGGTGTTACATTCTTTTTGGTTTGATAACTGTTTGCTACCTTTTGATATATCTATTTCCCCCTACATTTTCACCTTTGGCTTGGCCATAAACACTTTCATTTTGTGTATATTCTGTTGGTTCTCTGTATATCAATTTTGTTAATATTTGCTGAACAAATGTTAATCTTTGTTGTCTTGCTCTTACTAGATTTTCTGAACTGTTTATAAAAATATTCCACTAAATGTACCTTCAGACAGAGGAATTTAGATTAGTTCAAGGATTCTATTTTACTAATTCCAATATATAACAGGTTCAAGACTGGAACTTCTTAATTGGACCACTGGTTGACAAGATGTTTGCAGATCCATCAAATGCAACTATTGTCAAATTTTTGAGTTATATAAGTGAAGACCTGGCAAATATTGCTGATCTTGTATTGCATCATGTTCTGTTGCATGTTAGAGAACAGAAGAAGTGAGTATATGAAGTACATTTTTTTTTAAGATCAAATGTCATCTTAAACCTTTGAATCAAACAATATTAAAATGCTCTACAAACATGTGCACTTATTATATGGTGGTGGTTGATTTATCAGAATTGTCTTTGTCTGTAACTGGTAACTTAGGACGGCTTAGTAACTCTTTCTGGATCTCATGATACTGCTTGCCTGACTCAATGTTTCCATCATTCTTCTAACACAATTTACATAATTAAAACACCAGGCTCTGCTGTGGCTTTGCATTGCTTTGTTCTTGGGAAGGTGTAACTTAGTTCTATTGTAATTCAAGGAGTGATCAGTGAAGAGCTTTGTTTTTTAGGCTGATAGAAATTTACAGTTTTAGCAATTACCATTTTGACATGTAATGAACCTTAGCTTCCTATTGAGAAATGGTTCTTTCTGTTGATATATTTACGCTGGTGGTATTATCTTTAATTTTTGGACAACCTTCAACTTCGTGTTGATGGCTTGGCTTTTCTGTTCATCATATATCCATATGAAATCTGCATTATTGGCCAAGTAATCAGTGATTTGTCTCTGCTTCAATTTTAATATGACAGTGGTGTAATGGTTGCACGAGATTTATGATGGCTTCTATGCAACTTTTCTAGTGGAAAATATTTTTTTGGAAGTCATAAGAGATTAATCTCACTCATAACTCTACAGCATTTTCATTTGGATTATTATAATATGAAATTCCTTTTATCCATATATTCTGTCATCACAGTGAATTTATTTGTATAATTGTCTCAAAAGTGGGTGAAAATCTAGTGTAGTCTAAATCAATCAACAATTGCAACATAATCCCTGAATATAAAGTAATTGTGTGACACAAAATTTATGGAATTATTTAATATGAAATAGTGCATACCAATTGTTTACTAGTTTGTCTATACTATTCTCTCGCCAAGACTGGACTTAATGAGTTGGTAGTTTTTCCTTTCCTGATACATTCTCAATTCTGTAGCAGGTTGGATGAAAGTTTGTTATCAAGATGGGAGCATAGAACCTATACCAGTGATGAGTTTGAAGAAATGCAGCGATATCTGTTTGAGCATCTGTGCCCTTTGCTCATAATTAAGATGCTTCCCCTAAAAGCTTTCAATGACCTCAATTCATCAATTATGTATGGGCATCTCAGTCAAAATATAATCCATGGTATATTTTCTTATCTTGTGTATCTGCCTTTTTTATTGTTTTGGTGACTATTGCCTATTGGTTCTACCATCACATACTCCTTGACATTGTTGCATGTTAAAGATTTAGTGAGTCTGTTATTTTTCCTTCTTGTGCAGATCTGCTATGTCAAACCTTTGCTTGGGTTAGTTATTTTTGTTTCTGTTAGTAGTTATCCTGTCAGTTTTACTAAGTATTAACGACTGTTGTGCAAATTAATGACTCATGGAACCAAATTTGTGTTTCTGTTTTGATTTGCTCATGAATTTGGATTTGGCAGCTCAAATTCCATGCTGAGCTTGAGCATATTGAATTGAATTTTCTGTTGCTTTTTTGTCTTTCTAAAAATTAGATAGGAAAATTGCCAACTTTTTTATGATCAGGCATTGTAATAGTTTTGCCTTGCATTATAGAAAATAATCATTGACACCATTTTTACATTTTATGGATGTTCTGCTAATTTGTTTTAATATGTCCCCAAATGAACCTATACTTGGTAGCCTTGTAGTTACAAGAAAGATGTTTGGACCGAGGCAGCATAGCCACTTAGAAAATTTTAACTTCTCACTTTATTCTCAAAGCTCACAAAATGCATCTGATTAAAGTTCTTGAAACTATAGTAGTACTTGATGTTTCATGGAGAAGAAAAATAAAGTTGACAGAAGAAATCGTGATACTTTAAGATTTTGTACTTAAGGTTTAGTTATACAAATTTATGACTCTGGATCTCAATCCTATTTATCAATCTCATGTTCTCGAGTATCGTGCATAAATGGACTGTATGTCATTCAGACTAAAGGTTGTGTCTTTTTCTGTTTTTACATATTTTTCTTCTGAAGGGATTATAAGCTATGTATATATATATATTTTTCTTGCGAGGTAGATGCAAGCAGCAGGAACACTGATATTGGTTATGAGTGTATTGCTGCTCTCCTTCTAAACAGGTTGGTCCTTGGAAGAGCATAGCCTTTGTCTCTTTCCACTATACAAAACAGAAGCCTGATGCATATGCTATTCTTTTATATTTCAGGGCTTTCTGTGAATTTGAATTTGAAGATGTTCAGAAGCTTTCTGCTGAGCTTTGTGGGCGCATTCATCCACATGTAATGTTTTTCTTTTCTTTTGAATTTTCAGGGAAGACATCGACAAGCACAACTGTGGTTTTATTTAAATTTCAGTTTGAGAGATTTTTTGGCAGTGTTTTGTATGCAACATGATTGGAAACTTTTAAGTTGTAATTCTTCAATCGTTGGATAATTTTCATTTTGATGGAGTTCTTAATTCCTCCGGTTTGGATAATTGGTTGCTATTATTATTACATTGTAAAATGTATAAATCCTAAGATTAAACTTTTTTTACTCTTTATGACAGACATCCCATCTGAATCACATCATATTTTGGCACTGCAGTAAATCTTATTTGCCATTACCTTATTGGTAGTTTTTAGGGATTGCTTTAACCTTCCTATGCTGTCTGATTCTTTAGGTGTTGTTCCCCTTTCTTTGCTCCATTTTAGAGACGGCTGTTGATTCTAAGAATATAATGAAGATAAAGGCGTGTATATTTTCAATCTGCACATCCCTTGTGGTAAAGATTTTCCTCCATCATTATTTAGATTGTCAGGTTCTTCTTTTAAAAGTTTGTGATAGTTTCTGGCATTGTCTAGTTTCAATTTGGCTTGCAGTAAGGTGGCTTTTTTGGATTTATAGGTCAGAGGCTGGCAGTCACTTTCTCATCCTTCAATGTGTGCAATTAGAAAGATGATTGAAACAGTGCTGTTATGGCCTTGCCTGAATGCTGATTCAGGTCCAAAAATATTCAGTTTTTAGTTTTCTTCCACATTTATATGAATTAAAACTAATTTTGATGGGCATAAAACTTTTTCTCAGTTTCTAAAGCTCAGCATGGATGTATTGACTGTCTAGCACTGATGATATGTGCTGAACTACAAGCTAAGGAATCAATCACTGACTCCATGCCAGACAGAATTAGGGTTGCTGGGAAGAAAGGTATTATTGATCTCTGCGTTTTTGTGAATATAAGCATGATGCCGCTGGGTAGTTGAATGTAACTTCATCTCACTTGTTGAGTCTGCTGCTGCAGGGAATTCCGTTGTAACCTATGTAATCAATCAGTTGTTGAATGACAAAAACAAACAAACTTCAACTCCTGAGTTTGGGGGTGAAAACTCTGAATTTGTGGTTGCAGTTCCTCTCTCATTTCGTCTGTGCATGGGTAATGTTCTCATCAGCACTTGTCAGAAGATTTCAGAATCTTGTAAGAAGCTCCTTGCAGCGCAAGTTATTCCTTTTCTCCTTCATTCTCTTGAGGTACCGTTGCATATTTAGATCTTCAATCGCCTGGTAGTACAAATTTAAGAGTTGTAGTTCTTGAAACTAATTATATTCAGTTAACAGTTTGAAACGAGGTCAGAGATTAGATCAGCATGCACCCAGGTCCTGTTTTCAGCTGTCTATCATCTAAGATCTGCAATTCTTCCTTATGCTTCTGACCTTCTCAGAATCGCACTACAAGCCCTGGGAAAGGAGTCAGATAAGGTAAAATTACCCTCGCTCTTCTAGATTAATAGTATATGTCATGTTATTTATTGGGTAGGATTATGATCTAATATCAATATATAAATAATGGTTAGTGCTTTATTTTTTTTTTATCATCACATTGTAAAACATCATATCGAATTAAGTCAATATCAACTCTTAAATATATGAGAAAATGTCCTATTGCAATGTTGCTGCATTTTTAATGTTCAACAGGAAAGGATGGCTGGTGCGAAGCTAATAGCGTCTCTTATGGCCAGCGAAGATGTGATTTTGGAAAACATATCAGGTGGACTATTAGAAGCAAGGTCTGTACTCTCAACCATATCTTCATCAGATCCTTGTTTGGAGTTACAACAGCTGTGCCGGAAGTTGCTAGCATGCTTATCTTCTCCGTGAGTTGCGACAAACTTTTTGTCGAGTATGTTATTATTACAAAAGATCACACTTAGTTGCGGCATCACTCTTCTCCCCTTTTATTTATTTATTAAGTGTACATAATTCTCTTTTGTATGTGCACATAAAATATTTTTGAAATAGGTTTGATTGCCTACTCGAGTTGTATACAACAGTTGTTAATACCAGGTTAACATCGAATTCATGGATTTACTCGCATCCATAGATTTTTTAATAAATCATCACTTAAGTCTCTAACTTTGTAACCCTTTTTTAGTTTCGTCTCTAACTTAATAAACATTTCATTTTAATCTTAAAGTTGTTGAAAATTTTAGTTCTTGTTAGTAAATGTTAATTCTTAACAAAAGTCACATTAAATGTCAACTTATATGTTAGCTGCTAATTAAACAATATTTAAGGTTAGACAATGAACATCAATAGATATTTGAGGTGAATGAGGGGAATATGGCCACTAAGTTTTTGTGAGAGAGTGAATTTCAAAGTAAATTTTAATCATTACTCTTTTAAGTTACATAATGCCATTTGAAAGTATGACATTTTACTTATTGTGCTAAGTCAAATTTTAGTGCCAAATAAAAAATTTCATTAGTTTTTACTGATGTTATTGTTTGTAAGAATTAATTTAAAATATATTTGAATAAGTTAGGGACCAAAATAAAGTTTTTATTAAGTTTGGGGTGAAATTAAAAAGAGGTTACAGTTAACGATTTAAGTAATCATTGTGTTTTAGCAAAAAAAAAAAAGGGGTAATCATTGTGTTCATTCTTTTTGGGAGACTATGGAGACCCATATTTTGACGCGTTGCTGCACGTGGATTGCCCATTTTGACTGGAAAATATTTCAGCTTTGTAATCCTACATATTAGCCAATTTACTGATTTTAAACAATTTTTTTTTTAAATTTTGACCATATTAAGTATCAACAGTAAATTAAAAATGATTATTAATTTTATACATATCATAATTGCTACCTTCATATACAAATGTTTTACTTTTATTGGTGTGATTTATATATCAATATATCTTTACAGTAATATAGATATTTATTTCTGTAATTTAAATAATAATATATTTTTATATAAAAAAGATTTGTATCTGATAAATATTTGCCTAGGAGATTTTATGGTAATTCTGTGAAAGATAGTTTACACTATCTTCTATCACGACAAAAGAAAACAACTCAAATAATAATAATAATAATAATAATAAGCTTTAATTATATTTATCATATTTCAATGTAAATAGTAAAAATATAAGAGGTTAAGGTTTAAATAAATTCTGTTTCACTTTTTCTAAATTGTATATTAAATAAATTATAAAATTATTTTTAACAAAATTTAACTTTTAAATTTGTAATTAAATATAAAGATTTCAAATTAATAGATATTTCATGAAATAAAATTTGATAGAAAATAGAAATTAATTTATTTGTAAAATATTCTTATCAAGACCATTGGACACCTCATGTATGTCTTTTGACTCTTTATAAGATACTTTTAACTAAATTAGGCATGCTAATAAAATTAGTTAAAGTTAATTGAGCTTCTTAATTTTTAAAAATATTATAATATGATAATTTTACTTTCGTTTAAAATATCATGAAACCCAACTTCACTAACTTTCACTTTTCTTAATTTTAATTTTAAAGTTACTAATTCTATTTATTAAATAAAAATGCAAAATGTAATAAACATTTCATATAAACTATAGTGTTTTATAAAAAGAACCATTAAAAACAAAAAAGGTGCTTTATTATCTTTTCTTTTTGTCCACTGTTATCTTTATACTTATTCTTGTACATCTTTTGAAATGGCTTAACACCGATCTTCCAAGTTTCTTGACACCAAAGTTAGTACACCTTTTAAAGAGTTGTGACATCTCCAAAATTGTGAAGCAAAGGCCTTCGATCAGTTATTACAAGGAACAAATTAATTGTCATCCAGAAGAACTAATAGCGATAGCTACACTCTTAGAAAATAATTGCTGGAGCATCAACCAAATGACCAAATCCCCAGTATAATCGTAAAAAATATAAGCAATAGTTAATTTAATTTTAAAAAATTTCATTTTAACATTGAATTTTATAAAATATTATTTATTTTAATTATTTTTTATGCAAAAAAGTCTGAACAAAACAAAAATAATGAATGAAATAAACAAATTTTTACGAAGTCGTGAAAAATTTATAATTAATTAGAAACTAAAGTGACTTATAATTAAAATTTCAATTATTAAAATAAAAAAATTACGCTAATAAGTTTTTGTTTGTTGAACTTCTAGGTCTATATTAGTTGTTTGTTCTTTCATTTAAAGAGTGAGTTTTATCTCCTGTTACAGACATATTAAAAATCATCTTCTCCAGATTTTCTTCCACCTCTTCTGTTTATTTCTTTCTACTCTTCTCATGATTAGTTCAACAATCTCCAACATCAACTTATGTTCATTCTCCATCTATTTTTCAAGCGTTCAACAGTGCATCCGTTTGAGTCTTTTTCTCTGTTTCAAAATAATTTCTCAGAGCCATTGATTAATAAGCAATGAAATGGAGAAAAGAAAACCAAAAATTGGTGATACTAGTGACAAATTCACACTTGGCCTTCACGCTCTTATGCTAAAATTAATTGTTATTAAATATTTAAAATATTAAATAAAATGAAAAATTGAAGGATAACAATACTTTCAATAATAAAAAAAATACAAATCATAACAATCAAGTTCAATGAATAAAGAAAATTTTGAAAATGAGTGTAGAGTAGCATGGGTTGAAGCTACAAAATGCTGTCCTTTTGAACAGATGAATACCAATACTTTTAAAATATTTTATAATTCAAAATATGATATAAAAATTTGTGAACGTGATCGTTGTTATAGGTGCACTCTTCTCTCGATTGCAAGCTGTATGTGTTTTTTTTTTTTGTTCCAAACAACTATGTAAAGAGAAAGGGACCTCACACCGATGTCAAGTTTCCATATTTATATTTTTCAATAATATTTTACAAAATGCGTGACCAATTAATTAAACCGTTATTTTTATAAATTTTTATAAAAAAAATAAATATTTTATTACATTACTTTATTATTTTCTTTTAATGAATAATATATTTTTAAAATATAAATAAATATAACATATTTACAAATATTTAAATTATATAAAATTTTATATATAATAATAAAGATAAATGAGATAATCAAAAGTTAACTCAGCAATATGATATCTTGTATTATTGAAAAAGTTAAAAGTATTCAAATTTACATGTATGCTATTTTTCGGAGCTGCAGTTGAAGTCTTCTTATCTCTTAATCGATATATAATAGATCATAACTTACAATTCAATGAAATAACAACAGATATGTTTCCACCTTATCTCATAGGGCTGTTAGATGGGTCCTTCCCCTTGCCGACTACCTCAAACTTATTATAGATAGTGCTACATCTAAAGCTGATGATACTGCTGCTTGTAGGGGCAAAATTAAAAATTTACGTAGAACTTGTATTGCTGGCTTCTATAGTAAAATTGATTTTTTATCTCCTGTGTCAACTGAGTTATGAAGTTTATTCTTTAGTATCTAACTGATAATCCATCATAGAATCTCTATCATTTGGATTGAGTTTGATTCCAAAGAAACTATCTCTCTCGTTTTGAATTTACAGCTAGCTTTCCATCCCTTATTTGTAAGATTAGGGATGCATTGAAAGCTGTTAGCTTTGTCTGAGTGTCCCATATTTGTAAAGAGATTAATGCTTGTGGTGATTTTTTTACAAAGTTTGATTTAAATCTCCTCTCCTCATTCTTATAATTCTGTTTTCTTTAGATATGATGAGTAGGTCCCGTTGTTTGAATTATTTGTCCCTCTTATTAACAAAAATATATATATATAATTCTCACTTATTATTTATTATAAATTTTTTATTAAGTTTAATATGATTTTTTAAAAGTTTAATTTATATTATTAGCTTTCTTAATAATTTAGTTTATAATAATATCTTTAATTAATATACTATTAAGTCATTTTATAAATAAGCTATTAAATTATTTAAATAGTTATATCTTAGTAAAAATTATAAGACTTATATTTAAATAAAATATAAAAAAATAATTTAACACTTTAAATATTTATAATAAAGTATATTTTTATTTATTACTTTTAAACGAATTTTTAATTTAAATAAATAAATTTTTAAATATTCAACAAACATAAATGCAGATCTAACATTATACATATAAAATAAATTAATCAACAATAACATAAAAGACTTTAATAAATTTTTTTTTTTAAATATGTAATCGAGATTTTTTTAATTTTAATAAAAATAATTAAAGTTTTTATCAAAATAGTTTGGAAGAGAGAAAGTCCTTTAAACTCATTGCTGCACACACGTTAGAGTGCGTGAAATATGGGAACAAATAATAAGTAAAACTGTTATTATTTATTTTTTCAAGTTAAATAAAATATTTTAAGGTTTAAATTAAAAAAGATAATAGAAAATATTTTGTAACATTTTTTATTCCATGTTCTCCACATTTTGAAATTGAATAGTTGATATTAGTCTGCATACTGCCATTAATAAATTGTGTCATATACAGAATCCAAGTTTTTTAGGAAAATTTGCCTTTTCATAAGTAGTTGATGTCTCTTCCATTATTTTGCGGGCATGTAAGATGTTAATGTGCACGCTGCTGCATCCATCTTTGGAGCAAGTTTTTCTTAAATAAAATTATCCCAGATAGAGATGAAAATTAGTACTATCATCTTATAGGATTCTACATCTTAGTTTTTTAAAACTTAACTCAATCTAATCTATTTAATTAATAAACTTAATTTAAGTTTTTTAAAATATTTAATTAATTAAATAAATTAGATTTAAATTTAAAAAATCTATTAGACCTATTAAAATGATCTATTTAAAATTTATAATAATATATTAAATAATTTTATATAAAAATTATAATACAATAATTATTATTTATACATTTTAGATTTTTGTTTATTATATTTGTTAATGTCAAATAATGATTTATAAATTAATGTTTATTTTATTGTATTTTTTATATGTGTAATAATTTATTTATTTAAATTACATATGTGATTTGAAAGTAATAAATAGGAATATATAATTTTATTATACATATTCAAGGTGTTAAATTATTTTTTAATAATTTATTTAGATATAAGTCTTATGACTTTAAAAAAGATATACCTATTTAGATAATTTAATTAACTTATTTATAAG